CACACACACATGCCTTCATATATACATACTATAACATATATATATATATAATATATATATATCCTATACACACAGTCATACACAAACTCTCTCACACATATACACGTATAGTCATACACACACACATATCTTCATACATACACACCCTCGAGTACATATATACCCTAAACACATACAATCGTACACAAACTCTCTCTCTCACACACACAATAGCTGCCGCCCTGAACACACAGAACAGTGTATCCATCCCTAACAAAGCAACATGTAAGTTGGTGGTTTGCACAAAGAAAGAAGGAGGGTAGAAAGTGGTCTCGGCGAAAGGTGAAGAGCCACGAGGTGTGGTTTATGCGGCCAGAGGCGCATCTCATGGCCTCCTGGTGACCTGCTGACAGAGGTCACTACACCCAGGGCCCACATTCGACAGCGATGCCGGCTAAGACAGTGGTGACATCCACCAGTTGCTCAGCTGAAAGGGGTGAATCGAAACAATAAGGCAACTAACTGTATAGCACAATGTATATTCAATATTCTGTGATAAACCATAATGGAAAATGATATAGAAAGAAGAATATATATATGCATGTATATACAACAGACTTTTACTGCACAGCATGAATTAACATTGTAAATCAACTATACTTCAACTAAAAAATACTGTAATTTTTAAAAAGGGGGGCGAGTTGCCTCTTTTTACACAACAGGTGGTTGGTATTGTTCATCTTGCCCTCAGTAAATCCCTTGAAAGGAAAAGTCAAACGCGGGAAACAAGGGGCGACCAAGTCAGGCAGCAAGTGCAGGAGGCCGGGTACACAGCAGCAGGACCAGCTCGGGGGGCCCTGGTGTTTGAGGGAGACCCCAACATAAGCCCCTCCAGGGACTCCAAATAACTCCTCTGGCCCTTGCCAAGTCCAGGTCTGGCAGTGGGCTCTTCCTGTCAGTCACTGCCTGGCACCAAGAACCTGGTCGCCCTGACACTCTCTCAATTCTAGATTAGGAAGCCTGGGATGAACATTTTAGCCAGACTCTGGGCCAAACTCTGCATTTTACAGAGAAAACTGCTATTCCAGGAAAAGGAAAGGACTCACCCCCAGTTGTAAGGCCATAGACCAGAACCAGTCTGCGCAGAATATAGCCTGGAATCACACTGGGGGGCGCTCTCATCCCACCTCCCCCACCCACGCACTGTCTGCAAACCACTTCCTTCAAGCCTCAGCTCAGCGGTGCCTCTTCCAGGAAGCCTTCCCAGCCTCCCTCCTCTTTCAGGTTAGAGCTCGAGGCCCTCTTCTCAGACCCCGTGTGCCAGATAACCTCATTAGATAACTGGAGTCAGGCTGGAAGGCTCTGGCTCATCCTTATCCATACCATGGACACACGCTTCTCAAATGAAAGAAGAACATCAAGCCTACAGCCTCAGGTCCGGTGCTGGGCAGGGCACCGCGGATGCAGAGTGTGACTCGGAGCCCGTCTTGGTCAGCATGGAGGGCCCTCTGCTCAACCACTCAGCCCTCTCACACACACTCTCTCTCTCTTACCTGCATCTAAACAACTAAGCCACCTACTCTCCAGACCACAGTTCAACACTCAACTGCTTTCTAAACGTGCTCCCCACGGTTACCCGTGGCAGGCCTCCCCGGAGAAGGCCCAGGCCGGTGGTTCTGGCCTTCAGCTGCACATTGATGCCATCTGGGGGCCTCTACCCGCTCCCCCTCCCCGATGCCGATGTCACACCTCGGGCCACCTGAGCGGTCCCAGGCGTCATATTTTTAACCTCCCCATTTGATTCCAGCACACAGCCAAGGTGAAGAAACACGCTCCTAAGGGAAAAAAAAAAAATGTGATTACGGAAACTGTGTTGGTTCAGCCAGGACCGTGCGTGGGTGGAGGTAATTGTGAGTGAGTGTTAGAGACACTCAGAGAGACACACACAGTGAAAGAGGAAAAGGTTGCTCTGCACTGTAGCCGAGCTTCCTCACTCTCGGCTCTGTTACAGTTCAGGCCAGATGAGTTTTGTTGTGGGAGCTTCTCTGTGCACTGGAGGATATTCAGCAGCAGCCTTGGCCTTAACCTGTTAGATGCCAATAGTAAACCCTCCCCCCAGCAGCTGAGACAACCCAAGAAGTCTGCAGACATCGGCAAATGTCCCCGAGGTAGGGGAGCAAAATCACCCCTGCGTGAGAACTTCTGGTGTAAACTAACTACCAAATGCTCTATTGCATATTTATGTACTTATGTACATATTTCAACCCTAAGTCACAAAAGGCACTTTTCTAAATTTGACTGAGTGGCTAAGGATTCTAGACACAGGTCAGTATCTTGATGAGGGACACACAGGACTGTGCCACACACGGGATGTGTGGGAAATGGTGGGTGAGTCGAGACAGAATCACAGAAACTAGATCAGGCAGGTTCAAGGAGTCAAGATGAGTCACTGGTGCGTGCGTGCGTGCTAAGTCACTGCAGTCGTGTCCAGCTCTTTGCAATCCTATGGACTATAGCCCGCCAGGCTCCTCTGTCCAAGGAATTCTCCAGGCAAGGATACTGAAGAGGGTCGCCATGCCCTCCTCCAGGGGATCTTCCCGACCCAGGGATCGACACAAGACTTTTCTATTTCTTGCATTGGCAGGCAAGTTTTTTACCACTAGCGCCCCCTGGGAAGACTGAGGCAGTGGTCAAACCTATGAAAGAAGATCAAATTAACAAAACCCCAAAGCCAGGTATTCCAGAAAATAGCAAAGCCGGAGGCAAACGCAGGGTTGTCACAGATGAAGGCTGGTGATGATCAGGAGCTGGGAAGAGGGAAACAGTCAGAGAAGGAGCTCTGGGACCTTCTGGGCATGGAAGGACCACAACAAGCCGTGTCTGAGGGCAGAGTCGAGCATGGTGTGCAGCTGGCACAGGCGGAGGAAGGAAGCTGAAAGCAGGAAGCAGAGCCTTACCGCCCCGCCCACCTGCTGCCTAAACCGCCTCCAATCCCCGCAAGGCCGCCCTTACACAGTCAGAGCTCAGGGCAGACGCTGGCGGAGAAAACACTCGGCCCACTCTGGGGCCGAGCACAGCCTGTCTCCCGGGCACCTGTGGGGGCCTTGAACCAGGCCCGTGACCGGCCTCCCCCAGCCTCCGGGGCCCACGAGGAAGACCCTCCGGAAGGCCCCTCCAGACAACACCCCAAAAGCACAAAGAACCAACTGGGGCCCCCCAGGGACCCTGGAGCCAGACACCCTGCTCCCCATCAGCTCCGTCCCCCTCCACCCCGGCCCTTCCCAAGCTCTGTCCCCTGGGCTCCCGTGGCCCCCTGCCTGGGTTCCCCTCGCCCAATCCTCTCACATTCCTCCCGAGCTGCTAGGGGTCTGCTGCTTATGCCCACCTCTGAAAGCCTGGGGACTCGGACTTCAGTCCTGGGCCTCTTCTGAACGCTGTCTGTTTAAAGCCCAAGTCTGCACTCCCCCACTCAAATCATCCTCTGACTGTCCTCTGCTCAAGGCCAAAGTCCAGCATCCCCGCGCTGTCCCTGCTCCCGCGTCTGCCCCCCACCAGCCCAGTCCCCCTGCACTCAGAGACTCCAGCCACCTCTGGCTTCTGCCAGAAAGAACAAAGCCACGTCCCCCCTTCACAGTCTGGAGCCCCCGCCTGGTTTCTAAGTGACTCTCGGAAATAGCGCTTTGCTGGCTCCGCTGTGTCTGCCACCGGCGGGGAGCAGAAACCCAGAGGACCATCTGCAGCCTTGCTGCACCCCGTCCCCGGTGCTTCGTTCTCAGAGGAGGCTTCCTGCTTGCCGAGTACTCTTTTAAGTGCCTTGGTATGAATTACCTTCTTCTCTTCTCACAAAGGAGTTGCTTTACGCTATTATTTATAACAACGATATGATAGTAATATGAGTGGTACTATTTGTTACCCTCTTTTTACAGTCAAGAATATTGAAGTCAAGAGTACTGAGAAACGTGGGGGACCATCTTCAAAGTGAAGTCGCTCAGTCGTGTCCGACTTTGCGACCGCATGGACTGTAGGCCACCACGCTCCTCCGTCCACGGGATTTTCCAGGCAAGAGTACTGGAGTGGGTTGTCATTTCCTTCTCCAGAGGATCTTCCCGACCTAGGGATCGAACCCAGGTCTCTTGCATTACAGGCAGATTCTTTACCATCTGAGCCATCAGGGAAGCCCTAT